AATCTAATTTATTTTTTATGAAATTTGCTGGATCATTTGGACCTACGATCCAAGTTTTGTTGGAACAAGAACTTGGAATGGCATATAAGAAACTTTAAAAAAATCCTTCCTTTCACATCACAGTGTGATTGTAGTCTCATAATTTCACATGGTTTATCTCTGTCAGCGACATTTAGAAAGAACAGTTTCATGGTGGGATAGCCAGCACAGTCTTTTTATACTGGAAGCATCATTAGAAAACAGCAAAGAGATCTGATGCCAGATTGTGTATTCTTATGCTATAGGATTCATTTGATTATTTATAGAAGCTGCTGTCTGTAGTTAAGGCACACAATGAGACACAAAGAAAACCTGAAAACCTGTTGGGGGGCTGCTATGGAGAAATACACAAATCATTTGTAAATTCCCTATTTTTTCTCAAATCATAGAGAAACTGCTCTCTTATGCGTCAAGAATGAGCGGGAGGTTATGTTTCACTGATGTCAAAAAGTGACCATTTCTAGACAGCATCCAGTTAACAACAACCCCAGGGTCTGTGCCATCTCATCTCTCATACCCCTGTTTGTGTCTGTTTTCTCTCATCATCACAATTCTTGATGGAGTCTCAGCTTGGTAGGATCTGCACTGATATGTGTGAAGGTGTTATCACTGCTCCGAGGAGCCTACATTCTGTGAGGAAAAAAGGGAATCTGCCATCATCTGCCTTTCTTTTTTGGTTGTTGGGTAATGCCTTAATCCAGTAATTTTTTGATCAAAATCTTGCAGGTGGTACATGCCAAATGGCCTTTTTTTTCAGAGATTAAATGAGGCCTTGTTTGTCAAGGAACTGTATCGGGAAGGATTTTCCATGTGTGTGGGAACATGCAGGGGAAGGCATGACAACACTTGTGTGCTGATTCCTGTTATTCACTGGTGGATCAAGTACAGAGGATTTGGAGTGTATTTGATTTTATCAGTCACTAAAAACTAAGTGGCTTTGTTAGCTAATGTTTCAACTAAAGATCAAGGTATCTACAGACTACCTCTCATATATGCTGTATGCCATTATGTTCTGTAACATGCCATTTCTCAGTAAGTCTTTGAGTCCACTTAATGAGCTATGCCATCACCCTGTGTAACTGTTGCTATTATAAAGTCCTAATCCAACAACCATGTGTATGGTTAGCTTCGTTCCTGTGCAGGGACTTGTGGAGGAAAGCCAGCCATCTACCTCTCCAAAGAGACCTGGACAAGCTGGACAAGCTGGAGAGGTGGGCCTATGTGAACCTCATGAGGTTCAACAAGGCCAAGTGCAAGGTCCTGCGCTGGGGTCAGGGTAACCCCCGGTATCAATACAGGCTGGGGGAAGAAAGGATCGAGAGCA